GTCAGCCGTACTCGATTCTTATTGGTCACTGTCTTTCGTTAATAACTCGTTAACGGTGCCTCGGAGAACATTTTTGTAAAGAAAGAAGTTGCTTCAAATGATCCGAGGAACCCGCCATTTCCAGATTGCGAGACATTTTTGGGACACCCTGTAGACTGTTGTAAATCGATGTGAAGACAAAAGAAGTGTGAAACAATGCATATGAAGACGATTATTTGATTCAAACGATGAGCGAATGAGCTACTAGAGCAAGCCACTATAGTGGCGCGTCGTCCAGAGAGATGACATCCGCGAAAGCCACTATAGTGGCGTGTCGTTCTGAAAGATGACATCCGCGGAAGCCACTATAGTGGCGCGTCGTGCCTAAAAGGTTAACGAGGGACGCCGGCGGCGTGTACCTCGCTCCGGTTTCCGGAGAAAATTCCTTCGCGAACCGTCGATTAAATCGTTTTCTCGGGTACGCGCGCCGGAGACGTTTGACTGACCGAGTGCCGTTTCCGTTTCAGATCTTCGGTAGCAAGGCGGACCTGCAGCTCCACACGCAGATCCACATGCGCGAGGCGAAGCCGTACAAGTGCACCCAGTGCTCGAAGGCGTTCGCGAACTCCTCGTACCTGTCGCAGCACACCAGGATCCACCTGGGCATCAAGCCGTACCGCTGCGAGATTTGCCAGCGGAAGTTCACCCAACTGAGCCACCTACAGCAGCACATCCGCACGCACACCGGCGACAAACCGTACAAGTGCCGGCATCCAGGCTGCACGAAGGCGTTCAGCCAGCTGAGCAACCTACAGAGCCACTCCCGTTGCCACCAGACCGACAAGCCGTACAAGTGTAACTCCTGCTACAAGTGCTTCTCCGACGAGCCGAGTCTGCTCGAGCACATACCGAAGCACAAGGAATCGAAGCACCTGAAGACGCACATCTGCCAGTACTGCGGCAAGAGCTACACGCAGGAGACCTACCTGGCGAAGCACATGCAGAAGCACGCGGAGAGGACCGACAAGAGACCGCCGATCATCGGCACCGGTCTGAGGCCGTCGATCCACGCGATGGCGGCTCACCATCAGGACCACTATTGGCCGAAGGTCAGCCCGGACTCGGTGATCAGCGATCTGCACGAGCGGCTGCCCCATCACCACACCGACTACCACCAGAACCAGAACCCGGAGATGTTGTTGCCCGGGCACGGGCACCGGGCCGACTCGATCGAGAACGACTCCAGGCAACAGACACCGCAACCGGGCGCCAACCACCATCCGAACAGCAGCTCGGCGTTCACGCCGATCTCCTCGATCTCGATCAACTCGATCTCCTCCATGCAGCACCCGTTGAACCCGCTGAACCATCTGCACTACCCGGGCAGCCATCATCCGGCCTCGAGGCCGTACCTCTACGAGGCGTTCAACACGACGCAGAAGTCCTCGCCGGCGTCCTCGTCGTCCGGCGTCACGTCCGGCACGACCAGCAATCAGAACGCTACCTCGTTCCCGAACCAGCTGATCAGCCTACACCAGATCAGGAACTACGCCCATCAGCCGAACCTCGGCAACCTCGGGAACCTGGGCAACCTGGGCAACCTTAGCAACCTGAGCAACCTCAGCGCGACGATGGAGAGCCACGCTCTCCTCGGCGGGCTCAAGGAGAAACAGTAACTCCGGCTGGTCTTGGAGATTAGGAGCAACTGCTGTCTCTCTACCCGGTTTCTTCTTCTTCGTTCTGCCTGTCCTCCCGGCCCCTTCCGCCGCCCTTCCGTCGTCCTCGACGTATCGGGCTCTACTAATTCCACCGCGATCCTTTTCTCCGGCACGTCCTTCGATCTCCGCCGCGAGTCTTCTATGATCTCGTGGATCCTAAATTGCGCGCGTGTCGCGGGGGTGGCTGTTCACCTCGAGGCTCCTCGCCGCCTACAGTGTTTTTGTTTCTTTTTTCGGTTTTAGTCGCATCGGACGGTACTCAGGGTACCGTAAAGTGGTAGTCAACCGTTTGCGAGATGATCCCTTTTTTCTTTTATATTTTTAGGCTGCTTCCTTTGGTCGCGTGAAAGCGAATCATCGGAGATCGAAGACTCTCCGATCGACGTTTACCCGGCTCGATGGGCTATCCAGAAGGACAGAGAGAGGGGAGAGAGAGAGAGAGAGAGAGAGAGAGAGAGAGCGGATCAATCCGAGTCGAATGCAGATCGGCCGGACGACTTTTAATCGTTTTAATGCTACCGGGCATCCATGCATGAACGGCGAATATTAGAAAGGCTCGATCGCCACCTCGAATCGGCAGGATCGATCGAGCAGCCGAGAGCTTGGCCGCTGATTAACTTTCACGCTCCGAGTTAGTTAGAAAGTAGTACCCGGGAATGATTACCGGGTAACCACGTTTCCCGGTAATCTTCGAAACGAAGTCCCGCGGCGAATAGTCACCCCGGAGACGAGGATGATCCCGGCACCGGCCGTGAGAGAACCCTCCCTCTCCCCTAAGCTACCTTCCGAGGGCACGGCCCTCGTCCTTTCTCTTCTCCCATCCTCGATCGCGTTCCTCTCGGCCGCGCTCCCCTTTCACACGCCCACCCCCAGCGACGATCTCCTTAGGTTAATTGTCGAGTCTTCTCCGACGCAGAGCCCACCTTCTCTGTTCGACGCTTAGCCGGCCCTTGCGATGATCGTACACAATCGTTTTCCTGTTTGTATTTTTTTAATCGTATTGTAAAGCCCAAGGAGAAAGAGGATCGAGCGGGAACCCGGAACCGCGGCCGCGGGGCTCGTCGACCGACTTCTGCTATCCTCGCCATGGTGTCCTCTTTTATGGACTACTGTCCTCGCCGATGATCGGTGCTACCACCCTCCGTGTCCTGGACCGTGTTCTAAACGGGTCCTAGGAGAATCGAGACTCCGCCGACTTGTGACTTCTTGGTATCGAGAGTCGTCGACTGGCGGCTAGAAGCGCTTTAGCTACCTGTGGTTGGATACTTCTCGGAGGAATCTCCTGTTCAAACTGTTTATACATATGTTTGTATACAACGCTCTGTGCACAAGAACCCGTCTCTTTCTCCCCCGCCAGCTAGAATTGCCAACGATTTTATCAGTTTCTTCCGATCGATTTATTTAATCATGCGTCTTAGGGTAGAAGTTTTTGATCGTTTCAGTAACGATCGGTGCGCAGACGCGTCGAGGGACTTTCGATCGCCTAGATCTTCAAACGGTTACATCCACGCACAGTGATTAGTACTTAGTTCAAAGATCCATGGACCTCGATGGTCCATCTAATTTTTCAACTTTTGTCTCGACAACTTTTATCGATTTAAAAGTTCGCTTTCGTTTCTGTCGACTACTAATTGATCCACAATTCCAAAGCGGCACACGCGTTAGGTGCTTAATCCCTCATCGTTCCCTTTGTTTTCGCATTTGCCATTTTTCTGGCACCACCCTTTTCTCTCCCGCATTTCACGTTTCCTCCCTTTTGCCTGCTTTCCTCTCTATTCCTTCCCCCTTTTCATATATTGAGTATTCCGCGCGATTCGTGCACGTGTGCACGCGCGTAACTCCTTTTTAAAAGGTGCGTGCGACGCTTATTCTCCTGTTACTCTTTCTCCGGTTTTCCCTCTCTCCCTCTCACTCTTTTCCTTTTTGTCTCTCTCTCTCTCTCTCTCTCTCTCTCTTTCTTTCTTTCTCTTTCTCTCGCTGCGTCTCTCTCGGACTCATACACATACGCACACGTACACGGTCTCATGCTCTTCGTTAATTATCCCGTTGCGAGCGAAACGTCCACTCGACCCAGAAAGGTGTGCCTACTACCCCCTTCCGCCTTCGAGGGGGCGAGAGCCACCCCTTGGAAAATAGGTGTACTTCACGGCACGATTCCTCCTGGCTTTTGCTATTCCCTCTTACGAGCAGTGCTCCTGGGAAGCAGGAACGTGAAAAGAACGGAATTAACGCCGGCCCCATCGACTCCTCTCGTTCCGATTTCTTTTTTTTTCTCTCTCTCTCTCCTCCCCTTCCCCCGGTTTCGCTCGCAGGCTACGCGAAGGCTGTCCCTCGCACGAACACGATCAGAGAGAGAGAGCCCAGGTATCCCGGTCTCCGGGTCGTCTCGTTTACATTTCCCGGGCGAACGTGGCACCGTTCGAAACAAATACGAAAATCTTCCAGGCTCCGGTGGCCTCTTCATCCGATCGGTGATCGACGCGCCGATCGATCCCGTCGAACGGCAGGCTGTAGTTTCGGTATCGCGTCTAATGGACCGCCGAGAGAAATTCACCCCGTTGCACCGTTGAACGTCGCGCGAGAGGCGCGCTCCGGACCGCGAGAGAACGACTCGTTCGCCGAATCGTTAGATCGAAGTTTAAGTTGACAAGGAAATTTGAGTTTGCAGCAAAATTTTGGACAGCCAGTCGATCGGAGCCAGTCGACGAGTCTCGTGGTCGCGACTTCGAGTTCCCCGCCCCTCGCTGGATCGCCACTTTCCTTTAGGATCCTGTAATTTGGGAGCTCACTGGGCTACGGCGACACCCATGGCATAGGGGTAGATCCACGACGGATAAGAGAGAGAGTGAGAGAGAGAGAGAACTGCCAGAGACTGGAGAATATTGGTGTAAGAGGCCGCGAGGAGAACGCTGTTGCGTCGAGACGAGAGACGGAGTTGTTTGAGCGAAACGGAAACACGTCGACGCGTGCTGTGATTCTAGAGCAAGATGGCCGAATCGGAACCACCCCCTGACCTTTCGGTAACGCAATCTGGGGGGTTAGGAATATTCTGGGGTGCGCTGTGGTATATAATGGTTGGAACATGGCCGGCTGGTCGACGAGTCTCGAGCTCGCGGGTTCGTCCGGTCCTCTGCCCTCTTTTCCCTAGGATTCTACGACATATATGTAAATAAACGAATAAATAAATATTATATATTATTATTAATTGATTGATTAATTGATTGATCAATATTCGGTAGGTGCGTAAGCTAAACGAGAGGAAGGATAGAGACTCTCTACTGAAGATATTCTAAGTACCTTGTCTAACGAGTGGGAGAGAATGAATGAAAGAGAAGCAGCGAGAGAGAAAGAGAGAGCAAGAGAGAGAGAGAGAGAGTAATACCAAGTGTGCGTGAGAGAGCAAGAAGCAAGCAATCGTTGCCCAAAGTTAATTACGATAATTTCTTGTTTCGTAGGAGCGCGTTTCCGTTCCGAATTCGTGCCCCGGCATCGACCGACTTCGACGACCGAGCTTTTCAACGCTTTGCCTACCGGAAATCCATTCGTCGGGCACGCCAGCGATCGCGTTTCAACAATGTGAAAAATTGTTCGATTACCGGGACACATTTATCGAGAAAACAATCGCCGGTAGGTAACGCGTTGATCATTATATTCTGCCGTTGACTATTCTCGCGCGGTCTCGGTGTGCAATCGAGCACGATCGTCGGAGCCGATCGTCGGCGGCCGAGGGAAACGTAGAAAATTTCTCGAGGCGTGTAAAATGAGAGACGGGAGGAAGAGACACCGCGCGGACAGGGGGGAGGGAATAGAACACGTGTATACTGTAGATAATTTCTTGTTACGGCGTCGCACGTGTCCCGTCCCGAGTCTGCATTCTTCCCCTGGAAGTGTCCGCGTTTTCCTTTCATTTTCAACCCTTTCGTTTTCACCGATTCTTCCGCGAGACACGCGCTTCTCCTTCGATTTCTAGTAATTTCTTCTTTACCCCTATCGACACGCTCTGTTTTGTTTGTTTTTTCAAGGAAGCATCCTAACGTTCCAAGAGAGACGAAGAACGAATGAGAGACAGACAGAGAGAGAGAAAGAGAGAGGGGAGGAATCTCTTGGAGCGCGACGCGTCGACGCCCCACCTGTGCTCAAGTTGTTTAAAAAAAAACTATTAGTTCGTTACTAGGACGATGAACGAATGGACCAACGTGTGTACGAGAGAATGAGAGATAATCGACGGGTGAACGGTCGGGGAGAATGTGTATGAGAGGAACCGAGAGAGAGAGAAAAAAAACGAAAGGGACAGAGAGACGAAATCGAGAATTCTGTGGCCGAAAAGGCACACAGAGATCGCAGTTTCGGGCTCCCTTCGGCGATTTCCACGATTTTCTTCGAGAGGGGGCGCGATCGAGAAGCGGGAGACACGGGAAAATGAAAGTCACGCGGAAGATAATGGATTTCAATGGCGAGAGGGGAGGGGGGCAATTATCGACAAACGTTTCCTTTTTCTCTCGTTGATCTTTAATGAAATCGTTTCCGGTAGGAGAAAGGGGCGTGGGGTAATTTTACGGGGAGAGACGGGGACCAGCATAGAGTTTTGTTTCCAGAGGGGTTGTGTGGTGGGCGGTTACAGTGTCAGGTACCCCCGCGCTTTAATTGTGATCCTTTTTCTGTCTACCCTTTAGTTTCATTGATGATTATTTTATTAATAATATTATTATTATTATTAATTATTATTATTATTATTATTATTAATTATTATTAATTATTATTATTATTATTATTAATTATTATTATAATTATAATTTCGTTTAATAAACTATCACGTTACAAAGAAAAGCGTTCGAGTATGTGTGGAAGACGCCCGGGACAGCGTTGTCCCCTGTTCAAGATTTTCTTTTCCCCGACAGAAGACTCCTCCACCTTCTCCACCCACCCCATAGTCATCCTCCTTCTCCTTCTTCGCCGGCGCGAGTCCTTTGTTCCATTGTTTTCTTCCGGTTCCGCGAGGAAAGAAAGAGGAAACGAGCATATTTGCATCGCGAAAGAATATTTTTGCTTTTGTCGATGGACCGATTGGCGACGCGGAAACGGAATTGTACTTACAATACGATTATTATAGCGGTGCTGAGCATTTCGGAGGGGGTCCTCTTTCCTTCCCCCCCCCCCCCC